CGGGGGGCTGAGGGGTGCCAGCTCTGGGCATCCTGGAATGAGAGGACCCAGATATGTTAAAGAAGTGCCTGACTTCATGTCACCCCCGTCCCACCCCGAGGCCGGATTCCAACCATTGAAACAGCTGGTATGTTTCCACTGAAGTTTCAGAACCAGGGAGGAGCATCCCCGTCAGAATGGCTGGAAACCCAGCAACTCCTGCATCCCAGACTGCCCTGCTTCAACGTGTGCAGCCCCACTCCACGGATCAGCTGGCTTCGCCCAGCCTGCAAGGCCCTGATGGGCAGAGAGGAGGAACTGACATTTCCAATTCCTGCTCCCTCCCGGTCACCCGGCTGGCTAGAGAAATTTTGCTTCTACATCCTGCTGCCAGCTCTCCTGCGATTGGCGGGTAGGGTTGCCATTGGAGAAGGGAAGGAGGGACCGCGGGTGAGGGTAGGTGGTCAGGGAGGGTGGAAACCCTCTGTGAATGCCGGGGAGGAGGGATAGGAGAGGGAGCGAAGGAAGATATTGAGATTCTGCGGGGGTGAGGGACAGGCTTCAGGCTGGGAAGGTGGGTCCCGGGGGTTCCTATCTCCTCCAAGGCCCATTCCAGCCCCTCTGGGTTCTGTGCCCTGGCCCGATCCCAGACCCTACAGTCCCTTCTGGGTCCGCTCTTGCCTCCCCTCCACAGGCATGCATGATTTAATGTGGGGGTGCATCCCCCACATATTTCCACTGAGAGTGCCCTCACCCCGACCCTGGTCCCACCATTCCTGCATGTGGTGGTGTGTAGCAGGGACACAGCCGGCCAAGAGTCAGAGCTCCAGGCTGGGGGACAGACCCGGGGACCATCCTGCCTGTGGCTGCCATGAGCCTGTATCGCAGTGAGAATCGCCCAGAGCCCACAGGGAAGGAGGGCCCAGATCGGCAATGGAGAGGGCTGATGCTGGGGGGCCCTGGGAGTGCACGTTTGCTGGTAAAGCTGACAGGGGAGCCCACACCAGAGGTGTAAGCAGAGACAGGACTCTCCTTACCTTCTGCACAGCGGCAGACTTCCCCGTGACAGATCTTATTGAAGAGCCCACTCTGCTTAGATGGGTGGTAGAACTTGGTGCACCGGTCATCTAGAGAAAGATCAGAGACACGGATCATTCCCCCTCCCGCAGAACAATGGCCGCGGTTTACAGCACCTAGGAGACAACCCTGAAGCCCTTACTCAAGCAGAAGTCCCACTGGGTGACCCTGGGGAAGGGAGCAGCAGTCAGTGGGAACGACTTTCTTAGCTATAGGAAACCATCAACTTGAAATGATGGAATGGTGCTTGTTGGAGACACCCTCTTAATCACGCTAGCAGCAAATTCACCTCTGGAGGTAAAAGGTGGGGAGATGGCAAGTAGGATAATTATTGCCAGTAGTCAGAGGTCCCTTTATTATTTTGTCTACCTTTGCTTGGGTGTGTTAAGGTGATGAGTGTGACCATGTATTTCCAGCATGGGGTAATGTTAGAACAGGAGGAACTGGGAGGTGGGCAAGAAGTCAGACTAGATGATCATGATGGTCCCGTCTGGCCTTAAAGTCTGGGTCTAAAACCCCTGTGTTCTAGTCCAGTAGTTCTCAACCAGTGTGACACATATCCCTAGGGGTAGGCACAGGTCTTCCACAGGGTATGTTAACTTATCTAGATATTTGCCTAGTTTTACAACAGGCTCTAGAGCCCTGCAGTGGGACTGAGATCCCACAGGACCAACTGGCAAAATAGCGGGATAAAAATTCAACAAACAATGCAGGAGTGAGTGGGAGTAGATATTGTGGGGCGGGATGGGAGCAGGATCGAAAAAATAGTCCTCATTCGCCTCCAAGAACACGAACACCTCAACCAGCAGCCGCCGCTTTCTGGCCGCTCAGCTCCGAAGGCAGCGCTCCCGCCAGCAGCAGCGCACAAGTAAGGGTGGCAATATCATAGCACGTTACCCTAACGTCTGCGCTGCTGCTGGCAGCGGCGCTGCCTTGAGAGCTGGGAACTGGCCAGCAGCTGCCGCTCTCCAGACACCGAATGACCAGGCTCACAAGTGAAAACAGGCTCACGTCTCACACTGAAATGTAAGTACAATATTTATATTCCAATTGATTTATGTTATAATTACATGGTAAAAAATGAGGAAGTCAGCAATTTGTCAGTACTAGTGCGGCTGGGACACTTCCGTATTTTTATGTCTGATTTTGAAAGTAAGTCATTTCTAAGTGAGGTGAAACTTGGGGTACGCACGGCAAATCAGACTCCTGAAAGGGGTACAGTGATCTGGAAAAGTCAAGAAGAGAGTGTGAGCTAGTGTAGAGCAGGAGATGGGGATTCAGGACGCCTGGGTTCTATTTCCAGTGGTGGGAGGGGACTGTGTGTGCGGAAGCTGTACTTAGAGCTCTGAACTGGCAATCTGCTCCCAGCTGTGCTACTAGCTGTCTAGGGCTTACCTGAGAGCAAGTCTCTCAACATCTCAGTGCATCCCCTCTGTGACACGGGGATAATGATACCTAAGTACTGCAGCAAAAGACTGCAAGAGGTAATGATACCAATGTAACCCAGAGCAGAATTTGAAGCCATGGTGCCGTGAATGGTGAGGAGAGCTGCGATCTGTTACCTATGCTGTAATAGTCGTAGACTGTGACGGATGCCGGCTGAATGAGACCAACTTCGAAAAACTGGTGAGCTTTAAACTGCAGGCATTCATCCTCTGTGTGAGAAACCTGGGTGCGGGGGAAATAACAGGATTGCTTAGGCTGAAGGGTGGCTGGATGGAAGAGAGAGAATGAAAAAGAATAAAAGAAAGGGAGATGTTGGGGAAAGAAGAGGGGAAAGAGAAAGTGAGGGAGGTGGAGGAAAGAAGAACTAGAGAAGTGAAAGGAAAGAAGAAGTGAATGACACAGAGGAGCAAATTCAGCCTTAATATCAGATGCTGCATTTCCCACTGAAGTCAATGGACCTACATCCACATACACCAGCTGAGGATCTGGCCCATTCAGTTGTTCCTAGTGGAAAGCCTGAATCTGGACCAGTGAGTCAAATTCGGCCATGGGTTGCAGTTTGTCAACCTGCTGACGTCTGCGGGGATGCCAGGGTGTATCTGGGAGTGCAGTTTGGATCATCAGGAGCCCATGAAATTAACACAGGATCAGAGAAGCCCCTTGTTGAGTCTTTACCTTGTCCAGGTAGATTATGAGGTTGCCTCTGTCGGACGGGGCTTTGTCGATTTCAAACTTGGAAATGTATCTGTCGACCCCTTCGGAAAGCTAAATGTGAAGGAGGAAAAGCAAGAGGCATTGTGGGTAAGGCAGCGTCTCTGTGAAAGTCCTGCAGCTGGGCAAAAAAACCCACCATCTCACTACGTGACTCAGTGGTGTCGCGCTTGTGATCACGTCTCCCATGATAGGCAGGGGCGGCTCCAGGCACCAGTGCAGCAATCGCGTGCCTGGGGCGGCAAGCCACGGGGGTTGGCCTACCAGTCGCTGTGAGGGCGGCAGTCAGGCTGCCTTCGGCGGCATGCCTGCGGGAGGTCCCCCGGTTCCCCGGCTTTGGCGGCAATTCAGCGTCGGGGACGCCGGAGGTGCAGCACCGCTGGACCTCCCACACGCATGGCGCCAAAAGCCGCCTGACTGCCGTGCTTGGGGCGGCATAAAACATAGAGCCGCCCCTGATGATAGGATCTGCATGGAGGATACTAGTCTGCTGTGTATTCAACAGCTAGATTGCCAAGCGTCTAGTTTTCGAGCGGAACACCTGGTCGAAAAGGGACCCTGGCAGCTCCGGTCAGCAGCGCAACGGGGCTAAGGCAGGCACCCTGCCTGTCCTGGCTCTGCACAGCTCCTGGAAGCGACCGACACGTTCGACTCCTAGGAGCAGGAGCGGCCACAGGGGCTCCGCACACTGACCCCGCCCCGAGCGCCAGCTCCACAGCTCCCATTGGCCAGGAACTGCGGCCAATGGGAGCTGCAGGGGTGGAGCCTGCGGATGCGGGCAGTGAGCAGAGCCCCCTGGCCACTCCGCTTAGGAGCCGGGAGAACATGTCACCGCTTCCAGGAGCCACCTGAGGTAAGTGCTGCCTGGCTGGAACCTGCACCAAAACCCCTTGCCCCAGCCCTGAGCCCGCTCCCACACTCCGAACCCTTTGGCCCCAGCCCGGACCCACTCCTGCACCTCAAAACCCTCATCCCCGGCCCCACCCTAGAGCCTGCATCCCCAGCCGGAGCCCTAACCCACTCCCTGCACCCCAACCCCATACCGCAGCCCGGAACCTCCTCTCGAACTCTGAATGCCTCATTTGTGGAGCCACTCTGGAGCCCGCACCCCCAGCCAGAGCCCTCGTCCCCTCTCGCACCACAACCACCTGCCCCAGCCCGGTGAAAGTAAGTGAGGGTGGGGGAGAGTGTGCGATGGGGGGGGGGGTGGAGTGAGCGGGGGGGACGGGTCTTGGAGAAGGGGTGGGTGCAAGGGTGTTCGGTTTTGTGTGATTAGAAAGTTGGTAATCCTACCCACAGCTAAGGGAGCTGGTACTCTCGCGGAAACAATTGTGCTTTTCATGATAAAGGTCCCAGGTTCAGTGCCCACAGTGTACGGATGCACAGCGCTTACGTGTGTAATGAAAGAGGTGCCGAGGCTCAAGCAATTTTTTTTTTACTTTCATAACTGAAGCTGCAAGCCCAGAGGTGCCGGGGCTCTGAACTGCCAGGCCCAGAGGTGCCGGGGCTCTGAACTGCCAGGTCCTAGAGGTGCCGGGGCTGTGAACTGCCAGGCCCAGAGGTCCCGGGGCTCTGAACTGCCAGACCCAGAGGTGCCGGGGCTCTGAACTGCCAGGCCCAGAGGTGCCGGGGCTGTGAACTGCCAGGCCCAGAGGTGCCGGGGCTCTGAACTGCCAGGCCCAGAGGTGCCGGGGCTCAGCCCTGGCACAAATGAAGCACTGCGTATGCAGCCAGAGATGACCTGTACCTGCAGATGGCGGGGGGGGGGGGCAGACTGAGGGCAGCAGTGTCCGTAGATGTTACTGAGCATGCTCAGTACAAGCCAAGCAGGAACTCTGGGCACACTATAGTTCTGGTTTGGCATTCTGGCTGATTTTATGCAGCTGCAGGAGGATAACACCAATGCTGGAAACATCCCTGGGTTTGTTTGCCTAATAATCCACCCTCATTTTATACCAAGGCAGCAATTCACTGCAATGACTCCTTCGGGGCCTGGCTTTTCTGAGCAGCCTCTTTTTCTGTATCCACAGTTCTCCAGGCCCAAATAACTCTGCACCATGGAGGTCAGAGGATCTAAAGGGAAGCCACTTTTTTAAAACTCTGGCCCCACTGTTCACTGGCCCCCAAAACTGCCCGACGGAGATGACATTCCATCACCGACCTGGAGAGAACTGGTTGTGGTTTCCTAAAGCTGTTACCAATCCTTAGAGCCGTCTGGTCTCCCTCCAGGTTTAACCCTGGAGCCCGACTGTTCACCTGCTGCATTGGATTTTCTCATCTGAAAGCCCCAGCCGAGCCACTGCATTGTTTATTACATTCTCTGTTCTCAGATTACACTGACGTACTCTCTTAAGATCCCCCACGTCCGGTGAGAAGCCAGTGAGCATGGAGACATCGATGATGGACATTGTGGCATCAACCACACCGAGGAACCTAACAAAGAGAAGAGAAAATACCCTTTTGATCAGAATTCATCACTTAAATGTTGATTTTGTGATCGCTCCACCAGCTCCTGTTGCTTTATCATAACTTTTTTGGCTGTTCCATAGAAAAATTCATAGCCCATCTCCATTTGCCCCCTTCATCTGTCCATCTACCCCCTGCATCTGTCCATCTATTTATCATCTATCATTAAAGGGCATTGTTCTCACCTGATGCAGATTTTAATATAGACTGAACGCATCGCTCCTTCCGGCTTCTTCACTAGAAACATTGCAGAAGAGAAAAGAAATTCATATCTCAGTGTAAATTTCATGCCAAATAAATCCTCTTTTGTTTTTTAGGTGCACTAACATGGCTTAAACAGGTCCTACAGTAGGTGTGAGAAATCCCTCAATAAACCTCCCCGCCCCTCCAGCAATCCATAAATAATTCTTCCCATCCGTGGCACGCAAACTAAAAAGCCTCTCCCAGCTGGGTGGCACAAATGAAATATAGTCTTGGGTTAGCAGAAAGAGGAACTGAAACAGAGAGAGCCGGTGGGTGTGAACTTGGACAGCTGGAAAAGTTAAGAACAATTTATGGCTGGCTCCTGTTTCTGTAAAAGCAGTGCCAAACCCCTGGATCCCTCTATCCTATACTGGTCTAATGTGTGGTCATGTCTCCCTCTACTGGCCAGCCCTAGCAACTAGCGATCAGCTATTCACAGCTAAAGGAAATTACTCCTTTAGCCCAAGCCACAGAGGCTTGTGTTTTGGGTGCTGAAGATCCTGACTTCTGTCCCAGGCTGATTTCACACCCAGGCTGTCCGGAAATGTGTGCACTGGAAGTCTGGGTCTGTCACCAGACTGCCTGGCATGGGCTCATCTCTACGTTAGAGGGAGACCATACACAGGGTAGCTGGCCTGTGTTCCCATCCACATCCGATGCTCCACCTCTGCTGCTAACAAGTGCCAGGATGAGAGACGGCAGCATCTGCTCCCTCATTAGTTGCAACCTAGAACATGTAGTAGCTGGAAATATTATTTAGTGCCTGCCCTATGGGTATAATTTTGTAGGACTTGGGAACTGGGAGAGTTTGAAGAAGCTTCACAAAAATACTTTCCAAAGTTAAGAATGTGATTGCAGAGATGGTGGTTGGTTTACACATTGGTGTCAATCCGCTGCTGTCCATGGAGTTAAACTGGTGTAACTGAGCCAAATTTGTCCAGATCTGAGGATTGACAGCAAGCTTCACAAGAGAAAAGACAGGCGGTTACTTACCGCCCTGGGCTTCTTCGACCGATACCCTCAGGTCAAACTTCTTACACTGAGAATCATCCTCCCGTAGCTTTGCATTATAAACCGTCAATACAGTTAAGGTCCCTTGTCCAGTCCCTTCTGCCTTCACAGTGAAGTCTTCATTCAATTTGGTCTGTAAAGTTGATCCAAGGTTAATTTTCTTTTGTACTGAAGTGACTATCCCTGGTCAGGGCCCAGGCCAGATGACCCCCAGGCACAAGTATTTCACTCTCCCCATCAGAGCTGAGAGTTACTCTGCACAACAGCACTAGGTGGCCAGGCTTCTGGCCTGCCCTTGATCCAGTTCCTGTTCCTGCCCCAGCCATGCCCGAGTCTTGTTCCAGCTCACTTCAGCCTTGTCCGTGCCCTGCTCTGACCTTGCTCCATCCCTGTTACAGACCTGCTGCAGCCTGCATCCTCCTCCTGACCTCCCAGGCCCTCGGACTGACTCCAACCTGGCTTTGACTGTTGGCCTGCATCCGGACGCTGACTTTAATCCTGATTTGGCTTATCTGTGGATTCTGACCCACGACCTGTCCCCAGACCCTGATTTCAGCATTGCCCTTGGCCCAGTCCCGACTTTACAGCCAGCTCCAACCACCAGGCCTGACTGCCTAGAAGCTAGGGCCTGACAGGATGTGGTGGAATCTCCATCACTTCAAGTCTTTAAGTCAAGACTGGATATCTATCTAAGAGACATCTCACAGCTCAGCTAGAAGTTATGGGCTTGATTCAGAAATTAGTAGGTGAGGTTCTCTGGCCTGTGTCATGCCGAAGGTCAGACGAAATTATCATAATGGTCCCTTCTGCTCTTAAAAATCCGAGTCAAAAGTCTGGATTCATTTGGATCTGGTGCCGGGACTATGAATTCCCCTCCCCCTCCCAAAAGGGTTTGGATAGGAGGTTCTAGTCAAATCCCCTTTCTCTATAATCAGTGATCTGTACTAATCACACAGAGAAGCATGATACCTCTGCTGTTCTGGCCACCAGAGCGTTCTGGTTTACGATTTTGTAGTTTAGAGGTTGAGCACGGCCCGGCAGGAGAATAGAAACATCCAAATTCAAGTCTTTGTGCTGCGGAATGTCTATCTGGTACTGCGCAAGAGCCTGGAACACCATGATGGTCGCCTAGAACACCAGGAGGAAGACAAGAGGGTTACACCTTATTGTCCTCTTGCGCTGAACATCTGACAGCTTCTAAAGAGACTCTTTAATGAAGACGGTCCAAAAATACAATGAAAGAAAACACCAGGGTTCCACTGGGTGTCACGCAGGCAAAGGGTTATATAATAATATTACCTGGCTCTTCTGTAGTGTTTCATCAGTAGATCTCCAAGCACTTTACAAAGCAGTACAATATCTTTATCCCCATTGTACAGATGGGGAAATGGAGGCACATGGCAGGGAATTAACTTTCCCAGGGTTATCCAGGAAGCCAGTGGCCAAGCCAGGAATAGAACCCATGGTTAATAAATAAATCGTGCATGGTCAATTAGCTTCCCATTGCCCTTAGCTATTAACAGGGGCCAATTGTCAGCTGGACAGAGCGCAACGAGATAGTGGCTCCTTCTATGTATATGTAACCCACACACCTCCTGGTGGCACCGAGACCACTTAGAGAGAGAGATTATTGCTACAGCCTTGGCTAAGGGCCATGTGGCTTTTAGCTCATGCAGGAGAGGCTCATGCATTTAGCTCCAGAGGTTCCCAGGTTCGATCCCGCCCACCGACGACCGGGGTCTATCGGTATTACAAGTGGGGGCTTGTCCAGGACTCGAATGTGGGACCTCTTCCTAAATGCATAAACCTCTCCTGCATGAGCTAAAAGCCATGTGGCCCTTAGCTAAGGCTGTAGCAATAATCTCTCTAAGTGGTCTCGGTGCCACTAGAGGGAACAGAGCACCATACCCAGGAGGTGTGTAGGTCACATATATAGAGACATCTATGCCACACACAGCACAGTGTTAGGGATAGAACACATGGCCCATGACTCAAAAATACAGACCACTCCCAACCGAGCTTGTAGCATCCATTTAGGTAGAGAAAAGACAAGACTCAGTAGCAAGGAATGTAAAGGGACTTCTCAACTGAGGCTGATGGACACAGACAGACCCTATAGTTCCTAGTGGCCCCCGTACTCCAGGGAAGGGAGGGATATCTGAGGACACTCCATCTTTATTTAGCTGTCACTAGCAGTAGGGCTGTTATCCTCTCCAGTGCCTCGTGTAAGCACAGTTTTAAAAAAAGAATAAAAAAACCCATAACCTTACAGTTCTACTTAGAGATGGATTAAACCCAGATCGATTCAGATTAGTCATGATTCAACAATGGCTTTGTCGTATGGACTCAGACCGTTGGTCCTACACGCCTGGTACCTTGTCTCCTGACCAATGGCCAAAAAACAAACAAATGCCAGAATGAGTCCAGATGCGCGTGTGTTTCTGCCTATGGGAAGAGAAGGCCCATTGACTCCCCAGGAACAACTCAGTGTCTTAAAGTGAAGCATGTGCTCACACCCATCACCTTGGCAGGATGGAGCCTCTAGTGAGAAGATTCGGTCATGCTCCTGTGCTGGTCTCTGCCTTAGGTTAACAATGGCAAAGACCTGATAGGTCACATTGCCCATCTCCCAGGCAATGCAGGATTGTTCTCTACTGGGCGTTCTCCAGGGCTTTCTACAATGACTCAAGTGATCGGAATCCCATCCCTTCTGATGGGAGACCTTCCAACAAAACAGTCTCGGAAGGATACCCGGGACTATAAGGATCATACTCACTTGGGTAGATCCATATCCCCCGCCGTAGTAGTTCTGCTCTCTCAGCCATCTGACTATGGGACCAGTCAACTCATACTTCTTCATTTTCAGCAAGGCTAGCAAGGCGTACGAGGTGCCCTCAATGTTGAAGGTGCGGGCGTTCCGCTCTTCCCAGCGATTTCCCTCTAGGCAGCAGCAAAGAAGGTGAGCTAAAGGACTCTTCCCAAGGACACCCAAGAAGTGGTTCGGGACTATTTAG